CCTTTAACTCTTCATTTGATTTAGGACTGCGTTTTGTGTCATTTTGTTTTCTTTCTTCTTCCTTTTGTTGCTTTATGAAATATAGATGTAGATGCTTACTGTTGCTTCATGAATTACCAGCATTAAGCAACAATACAAACACATTCACTGATATATACAAATCATCCAGAAACAAATCAATCCCAAATAAGCTTGATTTTAAGTCAAGTACAGAAATTACTATTAGTCAAGTACAGAAAAACTTAACTCATTAGTTTGGGATACACTTGATTTTATATATATATATATGAAATTAAATATATATTTCTAATATTTTATTATTTGCTAAGAAAAATTACTATTTTATTTATTTTTAAAATAAAATAATTATTTTTTTAAACTAGAGTAGGCTCGCACTTGAGTTTGACTCAACTCGAATTTGAGGTCAATCTCGAGTTTTACATTAAGAGCTTGTCAAGTTTAGATTCAATAAAATTGAGTCAAAACTCGACTCGATAAGATCAAAATCGAATTCGACTGGCCTCATTTTCAACCCTACTCACAAATCAATTAGATCTCACAAACTTATTAAATTAGGTTCTCTAACACTACGCCGTACTAAAGAGAAAGCAGTGAATATTTGCAATCATGCAATAAATGACTCAGGTTAGGTTATATCATTGGTCTAATACGAGCTATTGCTTTCAATATAACAAAAAAAAAAAAAGTTGATATAAATGATCTAACTTGGACGAAAATGATATGACCAAATTAGAGTATTAATGGCAACGTACAACCATAAAGGTCCAAATAGATAGAGTACTGTTGTAAAATGGTACTAAATCAAAGTGGTACCGAAGGATTTAAATAGGTTAATTAATCAGGTGAAAGTGGTAGGTCCCAAAAAAGAAAGTGGTGAGCCTGGTTGGTAGTGCGGCTAGTGCCACATATTGCAACAATTACGTGATGTGATATGCAATGAGAATGTCTCGACAAGCATCTAATTAAAAAGTTAAATACGAAGATGACAATTTGTACTTATTCATGGTACAACTCCTGCCTTATTGGATTGCCCAAGTTAATTGGTAAAATTCCTAAAAGACCACCCAATTTATCGTCTCTACCCAAGGTTTGTAAAATCGGGATCCTACGTAGGATCGATTTTAGTTTCACAGAATCAGATCGTAGGATCGTAAGATCCTACCAAAAGCTCCTAATTGCAATTAAAGGCTGTAATTCTTTGATAAATTACAAATATATCACAAATATTTTCATTTACTTGCAAAATGGAGCTTCGTATTTCACAAATTTACAAAAAATTGTAGGATCGTACGATCCTACCGATCCTGCTACGATCCTACATAGATTAATATGATTTGCTACTCTGAATACGATCCGGATCGATTTTTGACAACTATGTCTCTGCCCAAACTCCACCCTCCCGCCCCGACCCCAGCCTCTCTCCTTCGAGACTCGTTTGCTTCCTCCCATTCCCGTCCTCTAATTTCAGGTCCCGGCAATTAATTCACATCCTTGTACCATGCCATACCACTAACATTAGTTGGTGATCATTTTTAGTCACTCCTTTCAATATAGTTTCTCATTTAATCATATATATGTTACTATTCAAATTCAAATTTTAAATTTGTAAGGATAAGATCGAAAAAAAAGTACAAAAATATTACAATCAAACACTATTTTTAAAAAGTTTGATTCTCGAAATATGACAAAATAATTAGAACAAAGGAAGTGATAAATTTATTCAAATTCGTTCAGCACTATGGAATCTGTCACCTGACTATCCATTAAAAACATACAGTAAAAGTTTTTCAATTACATTATTACAGTAAAATATTTTAAAAACACCCCCAAAAAATAGTTAATCCAAACGGAGCCTATGACTTTTATAATAATTAGCGATTCATATTAGGTCCTAAACAATGTGGCTCAATTAAGATCATAGAAAAAAAAAATTTAAGAGAAAGGGCAGCTAATTGGGGCTAATTTCTCTGATTATTGTTCAAAAAAAGATCGCAACAATAATGTTTTGACGGACTTTTGGTACGAAATTATGCCTACTAGGCTAACAAAGCCCAGCAGGCAAGAGAAAAAAAAAATTTAGTAAATGTTTGGCTGCCGGGCTAAACAAGCCGAGCAGCAAAACGGAAATCTACAAAAAAGCTGCCGGGCTGACGCAGTTTTTTTTTTAAAAAAAAAAACTCAAGGTTGCGGGGTTTAGCCGTGATAAATTTCCAAAAAGTCTGGTGGGCATCAAAAATGAAAAAAAAAAAAAGAAGAATGTTAATTACAATTCGTAGGTGTTACTACAATTTATTAGTAACACCTACAATTAGGTGTTACAATTAGTAGTAGCGTTACAATTAGTAGTAATTTAGTAACACCTACAATTAGGTGTTACAATTACTAATAGTAGTACCTTTGAAATGGTGAGGTAAAAAAAAGGTGACGAGAGATGAAGATAAGGGTGTTGAGGGACATGTGAGAAATGAGAGAAGATACGCTACTACTGGTCTACTGCTACACTAATATACTTATTTCCCTTCTTTTCTTCAACATAGTCTCCTCATGTCCCTCTCTCCACTTTTGTCTTTACCTTTTTCCCACCACCTCCGACCTCCTCCTAGACCTCCTTCTCATCTCCTCACTCTCACACTCACACATGCACTCACCTTCATCTCACTTTCGTCCCTCCGCATTTTTACTTGTCCCTACAATTTTTCCATTTTTAAAAATTTTTTAATATAAAAGTTAAAAAGATTTTTAAATTTTTTTAAGAATCTATAAGTAGTACAGTATTAGTAGGACAAGTATTACGAAAAAAAGAAAAAAAAAACAAAAAGAAGAAGAAGCTACCGACTGCCACAATACTACTCCGTCCCACCACTACTGACAAATAGTACTACTGACATTACAACCTGCATCTGCATCTGCATCTACATCAATGTTTTGAAACCGGACCGGAAGGGCCGGTTTGACCGATTGAACCGCGAATCGGGCATAGCACCGGTCCGGTTCAATGCCATAGTTGACTTTTACAGAAAACCGGTCAAGAACCGGTCGAACCGTGAAACCCGCCATTGAACCGGTTTTCAACCTTCCCTTTTTTTTTTTTTTTTTTTAAGTTTTAAAAACACAACTACCAAGGATCGAACTCCGGACCTTTGTAACAGAAGACGAATGTAGTAACCATTGCACCATCACATCTTATTAGTTTTTTTTGATAGCTTATTTATATAAAGCAAACACTCATATTTCTTTTTTCCATTTTTCTTACAAAATCTCATCCTCTCATGGCTCTTTCTTTTTAATTTTCAACTCTCTCTCTCTCTATCCTCTTTTCTTTTGTCACTCCCTTTTTAATCAAACCTCTTTATTTTTAATTTATTGATGTTTTCTTCCATCTTTTAATTTTGTTTTTATCCATTAAATTGAAAAAGTTAAAAAAGAATTATTTTTTTAACCCAAATTATTTAATGCCACAACCACTCACTTTTATCTCATTTTTTGTTTCTTATCAAGTTTACATTTTTATTTTCGATTTTCTTGACTTCCTTCGAACTCCAAACTTCATTTTTTAAATTGCAATCTCTAAATCTCAAAACGTAAATTAAAATTTAAGTTCACAATATCTAAATTCTCACAGACGTGAATTTTGTATAATTTCAAAATATTGTGATATTTTTGGGTTGGATTTAGATATAATTGAAATTGAGATGAAATTTATTTGTTTTAACTTATAATTTAAAAAATTTATTTTTAAAAATCGAAGTTATTAAAAAATAGTAAACTTTTCATCATATAAAGTATTAAATTAGTCCATTACATGTCTTATTTTGTACATATATATATTTATATAAATTATTTTTTAAAAAATTCATTGAACTGAGGTTGAACCGGTCCGACCAGTTGAACCTCGACCCTTTCATTTCACCGATTCAATTAATGGTCCGATTTTTAAAACATTGATCTACATGTGAGTTTCTCGAAAAAAAAAAAAAGGGGATGAATGTTTTTAGTTTATACTCGGTTGTTTGCCATGCATTGGGCCCATTTTTTTTTCACTTTTGATGCCCGCCAGATTTTTTGGAAATTTATCATGGCTGCAGACTTACTTGAAGTTTTTTTTTTATATTTTTAAAAGCTGTGTCAGCCCGACAGCCAAATATTTATAAAAAAAAAAAAAAAATTTCTCTCACTTGTAGTTTTGTACCAGAATTCCGTTAGAACATTATTGTTGCAATTTTTTTTCGGACAATAATCAGAGGAATTAGCCACTAATTAGCCTCACAAACTACACTTCAACGGTCTAGGCCTTAATTCCATTTGACATCACTAATACTAGCAACTAGTTTGGGAGTTAAGATTTGACAAGAAAAGAAAATGAAGAGAGAGAAAGAGAGGTGGATTTTCAGCCATTTAGGAGATGCATTTTCAATATATAAAAAAAGGAATGATGTGTTAGGTGCTACATTAAAAAATTTTCCACCCATATAGGGTGAAAAATGAAGAAAAGTAGGAAGCTCAATAATTTTTTAAAAAAATTGCCATTTTTTTAAATGGCTATTGCATAAAGTTTTATCAACATACATATCTAAAATCATAACCATCTTTATCAAACTCTTAAGCAGCATGCATTTTTGGACTGCATTTTTTTGCAGAAATATTTTTTAGATTTCTCTAAGAATATTTCTTCTCACATTTTTAATTATCTTTTTACCTTATGTATCTCCTTTAAAAAAAAAAAAACAAAGTGTGTATTTCTCTAAGAACTCTCAAAAAAATGCAATCCGAACGGAGTAATGCATAAGATTGCCAACAAACTGCATCCCGTACGTAATTTTTTTCCCTTAAAAAAAAAAAGGGGGACACATCATGTCCAAACGCCCAAATCACGTCCTTTTTCCAACGTTCACTTTTCTTGATGCCAGAGTGTCTCCACCTTGGTGGGTACAAGAAAAGTATCCGTTACAAACTTGAACGTTAAGCCCTGCCCTGCCCCATTAACATCCCCTTCCAATCTCAAGAACTTTCTCACATTGTTAACTAGAAAACCTGGAAACATCCAGCCAGGCATCAACCAAAGATCCATCCTATTAATTCTACCCCCACCACCACCTCCTCCAGCACAACCAAGGCTTCAAAAATTCATCAATCAAAGTCCTAGAAGAAGAAAAAAAAAATGGGTATGGTGGTGGTGATCTCCCTTCCATTTATCTTGTTCTCAATTTTACTGGGATTTGGATGTTATTTCCTGGGAAGAGCTAAAGGGAGGCAAGATTTAAGGAACAATGCTCAGGTCTTCGGGGTCCCTGCTCCGCCACCTGGTTCTGGGACCGGTACTGCAGCATCTGGCGCAAATGCTGCAAATTCTTCTTATTTTTCTCCTCAGAGTACTCCTCCTCATCAACCATTTTCTTCAAAATCGGATAAATTGAGCGATATGGTCTGAGGAAGGTTGATTTGAAGATGGAATTGGGGATTCTCCTGGCTTGTGTTGGGCTTTGAAGTCTACAGAACTTTGCTATAGTTTTTTCTTGATTGCTTGTATATTACTTGTACAATGTGATTTAAGTGTTTATTTGGACTTGAGCTCTCATTCTTTGATACTTAATCATATAAGGATTGGCATGAAGAGATTGATTAATTTGTACGACTTGTATTATGAATTAATCAATAAAATTGATATGCACTATCCATATTTACTTCTATTTTCTTTACTCGGGAGTTGCTTGTTTCTAGGGGGTTACAATACCAAAGAAAAAACTTTTTATTTGTCATTCAAAAAATGAAAGGTACTGCTACATTTATCTTTATCCATGGCTAGAACAAGACATGAAATTCTATCTGTCTGGAATCAGTTGCAACCTTAGTGGGTTTGGGTTGCACAGAACAAAATTCTTGATAAGAGCACTCAAAGCTACTGGCAAGCTGGGGACAAGTCTCTTGCAGTAAGTCAATACGAATCATTCAAGACTAAAAGGGCCTGGAGTTCAAAATGTTTTACAATGCAAAATGTTTTCCATTTTTGTATTTTTCCCCCCTTGTTTTCTGTTGGGGGTTTAGGTCCAGAGTAATTCTACGATAGATGTTCTTTGTTGCACACTTTGTGTAGGAAGTGTATTTTATATATATATATATATATATATATATATATATATATATATAAAGCAAATGGGCATTCATAGGTAACATCAATGGATGCATTGGTGGAGCTCTCTCGGAACCTGCCTTCTTTTGGCTTCAGTAAGAAGAGATCCATCGACCTGATGGCTTAATCAAATTCGTCATAACTCTCATAATGATCAACTTCACGAAGATCCTATTATATTCCGAACACCATTTGTTGCTCAAACCGTAGCAAATGCTACTCGTACAGTAGTAGATCAAGGTATGCAATGAACAGAAGTCATGATAAAAGATTCCGGTTTCAGGAGAGACATAACGCTTCGAGCTATTCATAGAGATTAAGATTTTTTTTTTTTCACTACCTCAGAACCTCCTTTTCTCTTAAAACTAAAATAAAGCATTCATATATATATATATATATATGTGTACGCGCGCGCGCGTGCCTGAAGAGATTCATATATATACACACACATACCTGAAGAGATTATACAAATAGTGGGGAAGCTGGGAAAACAATTTTCAGTGGGAAAAAAAGTAACACTAAAATTGTTTATGTGTACCTTTTTATTTAAAAAATATAAAATATCAAAACTCACATAACTGGCAGAACTAATGCATTTATGATATGAAAAATGCAAAATATATATATATATATATATTCTACTATTAAATAGTCATTTTACTTGAAAAAGCATGTAAAGCCATTTTCAATTGCTTACAGCTGGTCTGCATGTTTCGACAATGATTTACAACCATTTCATTTAAAACTCCATGAAATATATATTTTTTTAATGTAACCAACTAAATAATCATTTATTCAAAATTTTTAAATGAATGAGTTACAAATTACACCAAGTTCCAAGAGAGCCATAAATTACAGCAACTTCCAAGAAAATCAAATGGCTAGACCATAAACTCTAGACTTAGAAATTTTTGGGTTATTTAGCATCCATTATCATCAAACTACAAAAGTAGTCTCATGTATATTTCACTTCTCAACATTTTAGTGTGTACAAATAATAAACTTTTTCTAAATTAGCTAAGTACTAAGAAAAAGTCAGGCGGACCCCAATGCCCCCACTTTGGATCCATCTCTAGATAAAATTCTTTTTTTTTTTGTGAATAAAAAGTTTGGATGAGTTTGGTTTTGATCACTACCACGAGACATAATATGCCTTCGAAATCATAGATCGCTTATAGAGGTTGTTACAGATTGTCCATCAACACAACTCTCGTATTGATATTGGGATTCAAACACATTATTTTTTGTAACGAAGCAGTCTGTCTTTGCCAACTGACCCAACTTATATTGGTCTAGATAAAATTCTATACAGGGTGGGATTTCAGGGAATGATGTAAATATGTAGCATACATCTTTTTGGCAAGTATAGGTCCTGGAGGATGGTTTTCCTAGATATTGTTTGGGAAATGTAATATAATGTGCATTTTTTTTTGGGTCAAAGAAAGCCTTATGGTCATCACATTGCCATTACACATAAACAAGGGGGTGTATATTAATCAAACTACTTAATTTGAGTTTGTGAGTAGTTCGGTCAAAGGCTTGACTCAAATTTAGCATTGATTGAGTTTGAGCAACTTGATAACGTAATCGAGTCAAGTTTGAATAGAAAAAACTCAAATTCGAGTACTCGTTAAGCCTTATCAAGTACTTCCTCCCTTTTTTTATAACTGACGTTTAAGGTTTTGCACACCAATTAAGAAAAATTTTTCATTGTTTAAATCTATACACTACTTTCCTTTTATACCCTCATTAATTGTCCAATTCACCCATGTTTTCTCTCACTAGAGTACTAAATGGTGCTGTTTTACTAGGCCAAAAGCAATGCAAACTAACTAAGAGTAGTAATTAAGAGCCCTGTATTGGAAAAGAGAGATAAAATGGTAAAATTGTGAAAAAATAATTAATGTTGTATGGGGATAGTAAAACGACAGATAAAAGTACTTAAGAGCAAATTTCTTAAACGTCAGTTATAAAAAAAGGGAGGGAGTAGTATATTTATAATATAATTATAAATTATTTATTATATATTATGTAATTTACTGAAAAGTAAAAACTGAGTTTGAAAACTGAATCGAAGCAAAATGACTCCTACTTGTTGGTTCAAACTTATTTTAGCCAAGTAATTAGTGCAAGAATTATCTCTCGCCAATAATGGCATAGAGTAACGAGTACATTGCAACTCCCCAATCTTCCATTGCCAAATTGAAAAACTTGTATAAATCATACACCAACTCGAAAAGGAACATACAATTATGAGCACTCATTAATTAATCATTTTCAGTATTCCCGAAATGGGCTGCTACGCTTGGGCTTGGGTCGTGTTAGAGGCTGGGGACTATTAGGATTAGACAAGTTCAGACCACGTGGAAAATTGCAGTCTAAATTCTGGGATGGGACACTGCTGTTGTGACAAAATTGATATCGATTATTTGAATATTTGTTCTTAATGCTATACCCTTTTCTAACTCTCCTATTCCTTCTCACCTACTTGTCACTCCTAACTGTCAAGCGCAGTATTCAAACTCTCGACTTGTTAGCGGAAAAGATTCTAAAAGTCCTCCCTAATTACTTGGGTTTTCACCGCTATACAAAAGAAAGATTGCAAAAGGAATGTATTGGGTAGAGTTTGGAAAGAAAAAGCATCGCAATATGCAAGTAAGATTTTGTTAATTACTTAAATTTCTTCCAATAACACTGAGTGTGTTTGGACAGGAGATTATTTGTCCAAATTTATTTACTTACATCACCATTACAATTTTCAATACACATTTTTATCTTTTCAATTATCTTTTTATCTAACATACATCATATCACAAAAAGTGTTATAGTAATTATTTCAAATAATATTTCAAATAATCTCCTGTACTGTGATAATGTGATGATCAGCCTCCCTACAAATGTATCGACAGGTGATAATACTAGAACGAAAGAGTAGGAGTTAAAACAAATTTTGATTTAAAAGACAATTTTACTGGAAAAAAGGGGGAAAAAAACTTCGCTAAGTGAAGACTTGCTCTGGTTCCTATATTTTGAGCTTGCAATATTTTGTATCACCAACTAAAAATAATATGCAGGCGTCAAAAAGATAAATAAATGTGAAAACCAAATATCAGTGGCCAAAAGTGACATCATTGGTAATACATATGTACAATTTTTTTTAAGAGATTCTCTAGCATAGTAAGAAAACCATGATGCATTTCAAGTAATGAGAACCAAGTAAAAGTTTTGTCGAATTCCACGTGTTTTCTTTTCGGACCAGGCCAAAAGGTTGTCAATAAAAAACGTTTAGGTCAGTTTTATTTCATTTCCGCGTGATGTAACTTACTTTGTTTACGGTATAACTCACTTTCAACAATTTATAAATATATATAACAAAATTTTGTGAACCCAACACATGATATTAAACCAAATTCCTCCAGAGGAATTGGCCATCACATTAATTATGGAGTGGGAGGTCAAGGTTCAAATCTTGCCTCCCATCAATATGTCTCTATATAATGATTGATCTAAATTTATATGGGTGCGTGGTATATCTGTCTGATCTAACCATGAAGGTTAAAAAAAAAACACATGATATTAAAATTAATGTACAAGAAGGTGATACGAGCCATACAATTTTTTTTTAGCTAGATCATGGTCATCAATCTTTGCGGATAGTGTTACCTACAACCGCGGTAGCAACCGTCCTTGCCGTAACTCCTTTTCCTAGTGTCACAAGCCACTTGTAGGCCTGTCAATGGTTTTGGACTCGGACCGGATCCATCAAATTATTCCGAGTATGGGTAGGGATTTAATTTCGTTATCCGGACCTAGACCCCGGATCCGTTTTACCAAAAAAAAAAGGGTTGGATACGAAATATAGTTGTTCCGACCCGTATCTGATCCGGATCCGGATATAAATGGATTAATAATTTAAAATATACATATTTATCAATATAATTTGATTAGGGTGATGTATTTGAGTAAGATCAATTTGATTTCTTTTCTTATTTGGTTTTTTTTGTATTAGTTAGAAATTATTTTACAAATATATATTTTTTTCTCATTTTTGTTAGAAATTGTAAGCTTTGATAGATTTTTTTCGGATAGACCTGATCAGGCTCCGAGACCCGTCGGAATCGAATCCGGATCCGAAACATAGTGCAAAAGACCTGTCGAATAAACGGATCGAATCCAAATCCGATATAGTATGTCGGGTTCGGGTTCGAAATAATGAATTTCGATCCAGATCAGGTCCGTTGACAGACCTAGCCACTTGTTCGATTGATAGAGCTCAAACATATGTCAGAAAAACCATGCAACCTTATTCCCAGTGGATACCTTTATGGTGGGAACCTGCCTATGGTAGGAATGGTGGCAGGGAGCGACACGTGTTGGGGGCAAAACGGTCCAAACGGAGACGTTAAAGTGATGGTGAGCGCGTGGAGAGGAAATGAAGCAGACAGCGTGCGGAATGAAGCAAACAAAGCACACAGAGTTCCGTACTATCGTCCGTGGTTGGGACATGATGTCTTATTGCAGGTTAGAAGGAGAGGCATTTATTGTATT